TTCATGATGCCATCCAACTATCTCATCCTCATGTCATCCCCTTCTCCTCCTGCCTTCAGTCTTTCCCAGCTTCAGAGTGTTTTCCAAGGAGTCAGTTCTTCACATCAAGTGGCCAAAGTATTGGAGTTTCAGCTTCAGCATCAGTCCTTCCAATGAGTATTCAGGACTGATTTCCGTTAGGATTGATTGGTTTGATCTCCTTGCAGTCCAAGGGACTCTCAATAGTCTTCTCCAACACCACAGTCCAAAAGCATCATTCTTCAGCGCTCAGCTTTCTTTATGGTCCAACTCTCACATCCATACATGACTACTGGAAAAACCATAACTTTGACTAGACAGACCTTTGTCGGCAAAGTAATGTCTGCTTTTTAATATGCTGTCTAGGTTGGTCATAGCTTTTCTTCCAAGGAGGAAGCGTCTTTTAATTTCATGGCTGCCGTCACCATCTGCAGTGATTTTGAAGCCCAGAAAAATAAAGTCTCTCACTGTTTGCATTGTTTCCCCATCTATTTGCCATGAACTGATGGGACTGGATGACATGATCTTAGTTTTTTGAATGTTGAGTTTTAAGCCAACTTTTTCACTCTCCTCTTTTACTTTCATCAGGTGGCTCTGTAGTTCTTCACTTTGTGCCATATGGGTGGTGTCATCTGCATATCTGAGGTTATTGATATTTCTCCTGGCAGTGTTGATTCCAGCTTGTGCAGCATTTCGCATGATGTACTCTGCATATAAGTTAAAATTTGGGGTGGAGGATGTTAATACTGAAAGGAAGAAGAGGAGAATGGATATTGGAGGACAGGCCTGTGATAGGCAGCATTATATTTGTGGTAATTTACTTTGAAATTTTAATACAAATTGTAATCTGAATCAATAGCTTGGGGTTATCATAAGGATTAATATAAATTATTTCTTTGAGGGTGGCTGAGTGTTAGTGCGGAACGTGGGGTCATTGATCTCTCTTGAGGCATGTGGGATCATTCAGATGCAACATGTGGGATCTAGTTTCCTGACTAAGAATTGAACCCAGGCCCCCTGCTTTGGGAGTCTGGAGTCTTAGTCACTGGACCACCAGCAAAGTCGAAAAAGTTATTTTTGATTACATGGCTTGTTATAACAATCCACTGTTCTTGCATTAATAAGATATAAGAAACCAGCAAATCCAGCCACCAAATCCACCAATCTTTATTAGTCCTGGAGCCTCTTAGAAGTAGAACATGTCACCCCTATATCTTTCTGTTTCATGGGGGATTCTGTTTTCTTAAATCGCTGAAAAGATTTTAGCATCTGTTTTCCGAGTGATCCTCTCACGGTGCTGAGCTTTGTGGCTTAGAGGCATGTTTGCCAACTTGCTAGAAAATACTTTTGTTACTAAGTTTGAGAACATTGTTAGCATAGCATAGCACCTGGTAGGAAGATAACTGGAGTTGGGGTTATGTTTGTTGGCTCTACCTTTCTCTCATCACTACTTGTATTTGTTAAAAAAAAAAAAGAAAGACAATAAGAGCATCAAAAACAAAAACAACCCCCCCACCCTGCCAAACTTCCAAAACAAAACCCCCTGCTCTTCAGTGAATAGCATTGGCAGGTTTGCTTCAGATCAGAGGGTAGCTGGAGACCACTTGCAGCTAGAACTTTCTGCCTCTCTTCTCTCCTCTCAGCGTGTATGCTTTAGTTATTGCTTCCTTCATGTAGAGGGCATAAGACCTGTGGCAACTGTTCCTTAAGCTTCAAGAACATGTAGGAACTCTTCTCTCAACCCCAGTAGAAAACGTCCTGTGGAAGGACTCCATCCTGCCTTGTCCCTGGTCGTGGGCCCTGTGATTGGCCAGCTTGGTCAGATAACCACCCCTCAGCACTCACTGTGCTTAGGGGGACTTGGTCATACCAGCTTCTCTTTGGCCTCACGCTGGAGCTGAGTGGCGAGAAAGTGAGGGAGAGGGCTGTGTGTCATTGTGGAGGAGGAGGCCAGGGTATCAGCACAGGTGTGATGTGGGAGGATGATTGGCGGGGCAGCCATTCCAAACTCTGTCGGCTGCATCAAACCGCTGTGTTTTACACATGTAATTTAATTGGGTAATTTACTTGATCTTCCTGGTGTCACCTTCATTTATGTGAATAACTCTTACCAATGCAAGGTCTTGTGAGGTTTCCTGTGTATAAAGTGCATATCACATGGAGGTCATCAATGAGTGAGAGTCTGCTGCTGCTATTGATGCTGCTCCTGCTTTTGCTGTGTCATCAGTCACCATCAGCCCTTTTCCCCAAGTCCTCGTATTTAACTTTTTCTGTTTTTCTATAACACACCCTTGAGAATGTTCATAAACCTTTAGCTCTCCATTAACTATTGAAGTTTAATTTCCTTAACTACTCACTGTTTCTTTCAGACCCCCCTGCAGGACCTGGTCCCCACATTTCCTTTTCAGCTTCATCTCTCCCCCTCTCTCCACTGCCCTCTCCACACCCTGTGCTCGGGCTCTCAGTTACACTGCTGTGAAGGCCTCGTGTGAGGTTTTCTGTACCTCTTCCTTTGCTGATGTTGTTACCTTGCTTGGAATACCCTCTTTTGCCTACCTTCTCTCTCTCATCAGAATTCTTTTTTTTTTTTTTTAAGTCCCAGGTTAAAGCTTGAGACCTGATCACATCTCTGTTGCTTTCCTTGATCTTTTTCAATGTCAGGGAGCATTCTGTTCACAGTACTTTCTGCCTTTATGCACATAATTTATTTTTGCTCTTTTTAATTAATTTAATTTTACAATTGTTTATGTGCTAGTCTTTTTTTTTTTTTTTACATTTTAAAATAGTCTAGGCCAATTATTTTATAGAATGTCCCACATTCTGAATTTGTCTGATTGTTTCCTAGTTAGGTTTGTTGTAATTATTTTTACTTATCTCTTTCAGTGTTTTCTGATTTATTACCCTGTCTTGCCCTTTCTTTTATCTACTATAGTCTGATTTTTAAAAATGGAAGAGAATCAAGGATGTTTGTTACCTTGTTTGAGTTGCATTGTAACTCTCATTGGGTATTTTCAAACCTAATTATTATTTTTGTGTTTTGCCATGACACTGTTGGAGGGAAGATAAATATAGGGTACAGTAAAAGGGCTATTAAATGCTTAGGGAATGTTTTTGTCAACTGTGTTTTTGCCAGCTGTTTTTTAGTCAAGAACTCATTTTAACCCTGCTTAATGTTGAGAATTTTTTATAAAATGTATGAGTCATGCTTATACTTGCAAGAAGACCCTACAGTATTTCAGTAATTTCTGAACATGAATTTCTATAGCTCAGTACTGTGCTTTTTTGTTTCATTTTTTGTTTTTGAAGAAAGTTTGCTTTGATTTATTGTAATGTTGTTCCATTGATAAGCTTACAATCAGCGAAAGCAATGGCATAGCCTATGTTATCAGCATGTTGCGTTGAGAAGGATAAGGCAGATCTTTGTGTACAGGCATGCAAACATCTCTGAGAAATTATTAAATTTACTTTTTCAGCTTTATTGAGATATAATTGACATGTAACATTATTTAAGGTGTACAATGTGATGTTTTGATATACATATATATTGTGAAGTGATTACTACAATAAGATTGAATAACCCAACCACCCTCACCTCTTATAGTTACCTTTTGTTTTGTAGTGAGAACTTTTAAGACCTACTCATTTAGCCACTTTTGAGTATTCAGTATATAGTGTTGACTGTAGTCTTGTGCTGTACATGAAATCCCTGAGATAGAGTTATCTTGTAGCTGGAAGTTTGCCTCTGGCTCAGTACAGTGGATGTAGGCCATCTGTGGTTTAAAGTGGGACAGTTTTCTTCAAAAATGTAACTCCATGATATTGGCTTGTTTTACTTCTTTGTCCCATAGTGGAAAAAATACCAGTTGTTGCAGTGTTAAATATTTTTAAAGCTTTAGTTGTTTGAAGTTTTACTTTATTTTTTACACATAACTAAGTTAATTCTAGGAATATTTACTGAATGTCAACATGGGGCTAATTGTTCAGAACAGTCTTTGCTTAGCTCAGCCTAGCATCAGAAACAAAGGATAAAAATGTTTTATCAGTAAATATTTTTTGAACACCTGCTGTGTGCCAGACACTGTCCTGAAGCATAAGTCAGATACAATTTCTACCCCCTAAGGAATTTGCAGTCTTGTGGGTGAATCAGACAAGTAACCAGCCTCTATAGCACAAGGTGGTACATGCCAGGATTGGGAAACATATAAGAGACTCTAGGAGTCCAGGGGTGGGAATTCTAATCAGACAGAGAAGTAGGACGCTTGATGAGTGACAATCCAAGGCAGAAAATCAGAGTCAAGGATATTCTAAACTGAGAAACACTGGATGAGAAATCTCAGAGGCAAAAAAAAATGTGACCCATCTGGGGAGTTGCAAAGACAAAGTTAAAGCAGTTTTTCTCAAAATGTGTTCTCTGTTTGCTTGAGTCAGAATCATCTGGGAGTGATTCTTAAACCCCCAGTCACCTTTCAGGTGACTCTCAAGCTCACTGAAATATGAGAAACATATTTTAGTTGAGAGTTAAAGAATATGAAGGAAAAATGAAAATATAGTGTAATATATGCTATGTTTAAGGTACACATAAAATTCTGTGATTAGCTTTATTTGTATAAACTACTTCCATGATGATGTCTCAGAATCTGCCTGCAATGCAGGAGACCTGGGTTCAATCCCTGGGTTGGGAAGATCCTCTGGAGTAGGGCATGGCAGCCCACTCCAGTATTCTTGCCTGGAGAATCCCATGGACAGAGGAATTTGGTTGGCTACAGTCCATGGGGTTGCAGATCGGACATGACTGAGTGACCACGCACAGGATAAAACATTTTAAATTTGCTAATTCCTATCTTTAAGTGATGGCTGGGTAGAGTGGGACAGGGATGGGGAAAAGGGAGGAATATTACTATAAAATTTATCTCTTTATCCCTAGATGATTCTAAAAACTCTGTTTATCTTTTATTCATTTAATGTTTTTGTTTTTCTTTTAGTCCAAGGACAAAATGATGAGAGGCTCTCGCAGAGGATGTGTTAGACTCAGAGTGAGTATTTATTCATTTTTATTGAAACCAATTTTGACAGAAAAAACTATTTTGACAGATTCATGGGAGTCTAAATTTAGTTTAGCTCCCTTACTTAATTGTTGGGGCAGACAAGTTTAAGACTCAGAGGAAAAACAACTTCTCCAAGTTAACTCCAGAACCAGGGCTATAGTTAGTTCTTTTGACCCATTAGTTTAATGTTGTATCCATGACTTGATGCATCTACTGATTTTTTAAATCTCTGTTTTGTGTCCAGGGACAGGGGCTAGAAATTAAATGAGTTGTAGTGTTGGCAATAGAGTAAGCAGTAGGAAAAACTCTGGGAAATCCCCACTTTCAGCTGCTTAATTCTTTCTGTTCAACACTATTATTTTTTTTTTATTCATCTATAAAACTTTATTGTAGAACAATATTTTTTTTTCCATTTATTTTTATTAGTTGGAGGCTAATTACTTTACATCATTGCAGTGGTTTTTGTCATACATTGAAATGAATTAGCCATGGATTTACATGTATTCCCCATCCCGGTCCCCCCTCCCACCTCCCTCTCCACCC